ATTCATGTCTGAACATGTAAAGACCTTATAAATAAATATTATAAGGAAGAATACCTAATAGATAAATAGGTGGTAACTTGACACTCTTCTCAGAAAAGATTATCCAAGTAACCAATAAACATATAATATGGGATTTGATTCCTTTGTCATCTGGGAAATGCAATTAAATCCACAATAAGATATCATTACACATCCAACAGAATGTTTAAAATGAAAATGACTGGCAATATTAAGTGCTCTCTGGAACCAGAACTCTTTTACATGCTTTTGAAAGTGAAAATCCATAAAACCCCTTGGAAAAACTATTCAGCTGTATCTATTCAAAATAAAAGAGCATGGAAATTTTGTTATGTGAGGGGACTTCAGAAAGTTGGTGAAAATTTTCCATTGTTTCTAATCCATTTTCCACCAACTTTTTGAAGCACTCTTATAAGATCTTGGAGTGGCGGAGATCTAAATGAAGATCATAATTTAGGAATCACTAAGAAATTATTGATAAATTACATAAAAATCAGTCATTTTAAAGACAAAACCACTATAAACAAAGTCAAACTGAGATGGATGTCTGTAACACATATCATGGGTAACAGGCTAATTCTTAATATATAAAAATCTTTACTAATTTATTAGTAGAAATTAAACAACACACCAGAAGAATGGCAAAAGATGAAATAATCATTAGGATCTTAAATATTAAAGTTTTACAACATCATTGCAAAAACAAAGGATGCAAATTAAATGATGAAATATCATTTAATAAAGATCAACAGCTTTATACTACATACTGTTCTGGACAGTTTCAAGAAAGGTTGCTATCACATACATCCCTGGTGAGAACATAAATTCCTACATGTGTCACAAACAGTTCACAGCTGATGTGGTGGGTCTAGCTCTTTCGTAGCTCCAGCAATCTCACCACACAGTTTCTTACCTCAGGTCTAACATTATCTCCAGTTCCTGCTATCACTTCTACATATGAGACAATTGGAAAGCCAGAACCTAGACACCCTGCCACAGCTAGCTACAAATAAGTCTTGAAAATCTAGTTATCCATTGGATGGCATGTGTCTAGCTAAAATCAGTAGTTTTAATATGATAATTGAAGAAAAAGGAGCAATTTGACATAAGAGGGGTTGCAGTCTCTAGCACTGTAAATTTTCATTCACTTATTCATGCTGTTATTGTTAGGTGTCACTGAATTGGTACCACAGAACAAAACACTGCCCAGTCCTCCACCATCCTCACAATTGATATGTTTGCGCCCATTGTTGCTGTCATTATGTTAATCCATCTTGTTGAGGGTCTTCCTCTTCTTCATTGACCCTCCATTTTACTGGCATGGTGCTAAAGGATAAGCACTGGACTGTGAAACACAAGGTCAGCAGTTCAAACCCTCCAGCATTTTGGAGAATGCTCCTCGGGAACCTATGAGTCTAAACAGTCTCCATGGCACTTAACAGCAACAGTAGCCACTTTACCTAGCATAATGTCCTTCTATGGGATTGGTCCTGCCTAATAAAGTATGAGAGATGAAATCTCACCATTGATGCTTCCAAGGAGCAGTCTGTTCAGACTTCTTCCAAAACACATTTATTCCTACTCCCATATAATTATAAAAGCAATTACATTAGATTTACAAAATAGAAAATCAACTAAGGGCACGCCCACAAAATAGACTTTTATTACAAGATGTATTTTAAACTTTTAAAGATCATGTTTCACCTGTCCAGAAGAATATCTTGAGCTTTTACTACAATGATAGTGTTGTGATTTTTTTTTTCAACCCACTGAAGCAGAAGCAATGTAAAACACTGATTAGTCAGATAAGCTTGCATTCAAATCTTAGAACAAACATCCACAAACCATGTGAACTTTATCGGGTAACTTAATGGTAAGCTTTGTTTTCCTTGTCTGCAAAATAAGAATAGTAAGAACAGTCTTACTAAATGGGTGTGAAGATTAACTGAAATAAAGCTTCCATGAATGTAACTGGCCCAGAGGTGGTGTTGAGTACTTTGTCAGATCTTTTTCATGCAGTTTTGAGGTTCAAGAAAAATTTTAACTTCTGCTACTAATAGTTGTTGGCTAAGCATTTGATTGCAAGGTCAGTTTGATCTAGAAGGTAGGCAGCAGCTCTAGAAGACAAAATCAAATATTATAATGAAATGTGCAAAGATCTGGTGTTAAAAAACCAAAAGGGTAGAACACGGTCACCATTTCTCTAGCTGAAAGAAATTAGGAAAAAATTCAAAATTCAACTTGCAATACTAAATGATTCTCTGGGCAAAATACTGAATGATGCAGAAAGCATCAGAGAAGATGGAAGGAATATACTGAGTTATGGTGCCAAAAAGAAATGGTTGATGTTCAGCCATTTCAAGAAGTAGCATATGATCAAGAGTCAATGGTACTGAAGGAAGAAGTCCAATGTGCACTGAAGGCATTGGCAAAGAACAAGGCTCCCAGAATTGATAGAATACAAATGGAAATCTTTCAACAAACTGATGCAGCACTGGTGGCACTCACTCATCTAGGCCAACTTATTGGAAGACAACCATATTTGTGCCATTCTAAAGAGAAGTAACCCAACAGAATGCAGAAAGTATAGGACAATATCATTAATATCACACGCAAGTAAATTTTTGCTAAAGAGAATTCAAAAACCACTTCAACAGTACATTGGCAAGGAACTGCCAGAGGTTCAAGCCATATGCAGACCAAAGACATGGAACTGAGAATATCAGTGCTGACATCAGATGGATTTTGGATGAAAGCAGAGAATACAAGAAAGAGGGTTCCTTGTGCTTTATTGACTATGCAATGGTTTTTGACTGTGTGGATCATGACAAGAGATGGAAAACACTGCAGAAAATGAGTATTTTGGAACACTTAACTCGTGCTCATGAGGAACATGTACACAGACCAAGAGGCAGTTCTAACAGAACAAGGGAACACTGAATGAAATAAAATTAGGAAAGGTGTGTGCTAGTGTTGTATTCTTTTACCATACTTACTCAATCTTCTTGCTGAGCAAATAATCTGAGAAACTGGATTATAAAAAAAAAGAACATGGCATCAGGATTGAAGAAAGGCTGATTAACAACTTGTGATATTCAGTTGATACAACCTTCCTTGATGAAAGGGAAGAGGACTTAAAATACTAGTGAAGATCAAAGCCTTCAGTATGGGTTGCACATCAATGTAAAGAAAACAAAAATCCTCATGAGTGGACCATAAACAATATCATGATGAACTAAGAAAAGATTGAAGTTGTCAAAAATTTAATTTCACTTGGGTCTATCATCAATACTCATGGAAGCATCAGGCAAAAAATCAAACAACATATTGCATTAGGCAAATCAACTGCACAAGACTACTTTAAAGTGTTCAAGAGCAAAGATGTCAGGTTAAGAACTAAAGTGCACCTGGCCCAAGCCATGGACAATGAATAAGGAAGACTGTAGAACTGATGCATTTCAGTTATGATGTTGGAGAAGAAAATGAAAGGAACCATGGACTGCTAGAAAAACAAACAAATCTGTTTTGGAAGAAGTACAACCAGATTGCTCTTTAGAAGCCTAGATGGGCAGACTTTGTCTCTCATACTTAGGACCTATTATCAGGTGGGACCAGTTCCTGGAGAAGGACATCACGATAGGTAAAGTGGAGGGGCAGAGAAAAAGAGGAAACCCCCAACAAGATGGATTGCCACAATGGCAGTAACAGTGGACTCAAGCATAACAGCAATTGTGAGGATGGTGCAGAACTGGGTTGTGTTTCGTTCTGTTGTACATCGAGCCACTGTGAGTCAGAACTGACTCAACAGCACTTACCAACAACATATAGAATATGGAGTCCTGGTCTCATGCTGTAGGCTAAGCACTGGACTGCTAGCTACAAGGTTGGTGGTTCAAACCCACCAGCTGCTCCATGACTATAAATCTTTGTTGAAGCCGAAAGCCTCATCTTTCTCCTGAGGAGCTATTAGTCGCCTTGAAACGCCAACTATAGTACAGTACTTACCTTACAAAGTTACCATACTATCTATTGACAAAGTAGACTACATTGAAATTAGGAACTTCTGTCGATCAAATTAGGCATTTGACTGTTAACAGAAAGGTCAGCAGTTCAAACCCACCAGCTGTTCTGCGTAAGATATGGCAGTCTGTTTGCAGACCATATGAGGTGGTGAGACTGTCCTATAGCATCACTCACTATATGTTGGAATTGATGAGAAGGTACCAGGTTTGGTTTTAGTCATCAAAAATGCTAATAAAAATGACAAAATTATGCACAGGTAGAAGATATTTGTAAGACGCATAACAGTTTTAAAAGTGAGTATAGAGAATTGTTGATGTTAAGTATCACCTAGTTGGTTCCAACTCATAATAACCCTGTATAGGATTTCCAAGGAGCAGCTGGTAGGTTTGAACTGCCAACCTTGTGGTTTGCAGTCCAGTGCTGATCCTACAGCACCACACCAGGAGTCCTAGTACACAGAATAATGCCTACAGATAAATAAGAAAAAGACAGTATAAAAACAGGCAAGAAACTTATTTACAACTACTCACCTCTGCTATTGTAGCAGAAAAGCAATCACAGACATTACGTAAACACATGAGCCTTTTATTTGCCAATCCCTGCCATGGAGCTCTGAAAATGAATGAACTAATACTACATGCAAGAACGTGGACAAATTTCACAAATGTAATGTTAAGCAAAAGAAGCCAAACACTGACACTTCAAAAGGTAGTCTAAACAGTGTAGGAGGTGGGGCATGAGGGAAACTTCTAGGATGCTAGTAATATTCTATTTAATAACCTAAGTGGTAGCTAAGGTATTCTCACTTTATGGTCATTCATTGAGCTGTACAGTTATGATCTGGGTACATTTACCTAGAGAGACTTTGTTTTGAAAAAAACAAGGAAGTATCCAGATAATATGGGAGAATGTGTTTTCATAATGTATTATGGGTAACTTTAATTTAATTTTGTGCACAGGATACTTAGCAAATTTGTGCCGCCATTTACTGCTTAAAGTGGAAATCGAAATTATGATTGAGGGTAAGTATTGAGGGTCACAGTAAAGTATTCATGCATATATATAGACCAATTCATTGTTTTAGTCATATATAAGTTCTATAACTTCTATAACGGTGCCAGGGTTAGGAGGAGGGTGATAGCAATGGGTGGGTGGGTTAGGTGTTAATCAGTTTAAGGACTCAATAAAAGAGCATCTTTTGTTTCTCTTACCCACTCTCCTGTTTCAATTTCTCCACTCATCTCATTCATTATTTCCCACTATCATTCAAGATCCCTCTGTAACTACAGAGAGTAGAGGGGTCATTCACCCATTCATCCATCAAATAGATTTCCAGAGTCTACAATGTGATAGTCTATTCTCTCTAGATACAGCAGCAAATGAAACAATTCCCTCAGTGAATTTACAATTCCATGGATCCAAACCCAAGTCCATTGGTGTGAAGTCAATTCTGACTCACAGTGGCCCTTCAAGACAGAGGAGAGCTGCTACACAGGGTTTCCCAAGTTGTAGATCTCTACAGAAATTGATTGCCATACCTTTCTCCTGAAGAGTGACTGGTGGATTCGAAAAGCCCACCTTTCAGTTAGCACCTGAATGCTTAACTGTTCCACCACTAGGTCAATAGACAAAGGCCAAGATGAAAATGCTTAAAGCCTTAACGTTTTGATATGCTAAATGTTAGCGTTCTTTAATTCCTTCTCCTGCAAATGTACATTGTTGTTGTTGTCACTTTAGGTGTTGTCCAGTCATTTCCAACTCATAGTGACACTGTGTACAACAGAAGGAAACATTGCCTGCCCCTGCTCCATGCTCACAATTGTTATATTTGATCCCACTGTGCCAATCAATCTTGTTGAGGGTCTTCCTCTTTTTCATTGACCCTTTAACAAGCATGATGTCCTTTTCCAGGGACTGATCCCTTCTGATAACATGTCCAAAGCATGTGAGATGAAGTCTTGTCATCTTAGCTTCTAAGGAGTATTCTGGTTGTAATTCTTCCAAGACAGATAGATGTGCTTGTTCCTATGGCAGCTTAGTATCCTTTTAATATTCTTCACCTTTATGTTGAGTTGTAATCCATACTGAAGGCTGTAGTCTTCGATCTTCAACAGTAGGTGTTTCAAGGTTTCTTTGCTTTCAGAAACCTATATTCTTCTTCATACAGTTCAGCTCCTTGAACTATTTGCTCAGTATAAAGATTAAATAAGTATGGTGAAAGGATAGAGCCCTATTGCTCACATTTCCTTTAAACCATTCAATATCACCTTACTCTGTTAGAGCAACTGCCTCTTGGTCTATGTACAGGTTCCACATGAGCACAATTAAGTGTTCTAAAATTCTCATTATTTGTAATGTTATCTGTACTTCTGATCCACATAATCAAAAAGCTTTGCATAGTCAATAAAACAAAAGTAAACAAATGTACATTGCTATTCACTAGATAGGAGCGCTGGTGGCACAGTGGTTAAGGACTTGGTTGTTAATCATAAAATCTATCTCCATAGTGAGTACAGCATTGGAAATGCTATGAGACAGTTCCATTCTGCAGTATAGGGTAAGCTTGAGTCCAAATAAACTGTATGGCAATGGCTTTTAATCTTTTAGAGAGCAGATCACCACAGTTTTCTCCCCCAGATCAGCTGGTGGATACAAACAGCTGATCTTTCAGTTAACAGCCAAATGCTTAATCACGGCAACCACAGCAGTACTCAAACAAAACAAACCCCACTTCTGTCAAGTCAATTCTGTTTGATAGTAACTCTCTAGCATGGAGTGGAACTGCTCCTTAGGATTTCTGCGACTAAATCTTTTCAGTAGCAGCCTCATTTTAATCCCATGGAGTGGCTGGTGGTTTTGAGTCACCCACCTTTCTGTTTGCAGCCCAACTCTTAACCCACTGTGCCACCAGGACTCCTGATTAAGTGACTAACAATGTATATTTGCAGAAGAAGGAATTAAAGAAGGATAACATTCTATCAAAATGTTAGAGCTCAGGAATTTCCCTCTTGGCTTTTATCTATTGCCCCATTGGTCAACGATCTGCTTCTGAAAAGATTACAACCAAGAAAACTCTATGGGAAAGTTTGCTCTGTCACAGGGCTATTTGATGGAATCACTTCAGTGGCACCCAATGACAGTCCCTAGGTATTCTAGTCACCGCACACAGTTAATGCATAACCCAAAGGTTGTAGGTTCAAGTCCATCCAGAGGCACCTCAGCAACAAGACTGGAACCACTGAAAATACTATGGACACACATGAGGTTGTCATGTCAATTCAGCAACTGTAAAAACAAACAAACAAACAAAAAACAGTCCTCCAAGATCATAATTACATACAAGGTAGAAACTAGGTTACCTTTCTCCCTTTTTCATTTATCCATTCATTTGATAAACACACATTTATTGCTAGATGCCAGACTATAATTTTCCCTTCTTCTGTCTTATATTTTTCTTTTCTTTCTTGCCTCATACTCTTTCTCTTCCTGTCCCACCTCTCCTTTTAAAAAGCTTCCCTTTTTTCCTTTTGTTTCCTGTTATTATGGAAGAAAAGAATAACTACCCATAATCTCACTAACTGAAAATAATGATATCAGCATCCTGGCATATATGTATATATTACACCCAATATGTTTAAAGGATATAAGCATGGTACATATGCATCTTTTTAATGGAATTATAACTATTTAGGGGAGCATGGTGGCTCCATATGATAAGCACTGGGCTGCAAACCACAGGTCAGCAGTTCGAAACCACCAGTCACTCCATGGGAGAAAGATGAGTTTTTTTGCTCCTGCAAACATTTACAACTTCAGAAACCCTGTACAGGATCACTATAAGTTGGAAATGAATTCATAGCACTTGCAACAACAACAACATAACAATTTAATAATTTTTTTCATTTATTCATATACCATAAATGCTTTTCTATAACAAGAAATATATGTTTGCATTTGAATAAATGCATAATATTTTGTCTTAGGAATATTACTAATTTTAAAAATCCCTTATTGAATAACGGATTCCAGTTTTAGTCTGGTTCCACTCTTACATTATAAGCAATATTGAACGTTCTTATCAGTGCATGTTTTTGCTTTCTAGCAAAATGTTGCTTAGTGCTGTCAAGTTGGTTCTGTCTCATGGTAACCCTATATAGGATTTTTGAGGAGTAGATGGTGGATTTGAATTGCCAACCTGTGGTAGGCAGACCAGTGTTTACCTTACAGCACCACACCAGGACTTACTGCATATAATTCTTGTTGCTAAGTGCTGTCCAGTCAGTTCTGACCCACAGTGACCCTGTATAGGGTTACCAAGGAGCAGCTGATGAGCTTGAACTGCCAACCTTGCAGGTTAAACCGACTTTGCAATCTAGTGCATTAACCCACAACTCCACACCAGGACTCCCTTGTAGATAATGTAGGTCAAAGTAATGGTATTTGGGGCAAGAGATGCTCTATGAATGGTATTGGGGATCTTAAGGGTTAGAGCTTCTAGGACTCTAAGAGAATTGCTGATACCTTGAACTAAAAGCCCTCCTGTTGTTTCAGCTCTTGATCGAGTGCTGGGGGATGAAGACCCTTTGATCAAGGAGTTGGCCCAAACCACCCTGAACCTTTTTAATGAAATAGCCTGTAGATTGACCTCCTCGGGTGCTAAACAAACCTTTCAAAGATTGTTTAATTTATTCTACTTCAAAAAAGGGAAGATAATTTATCACTATAAAGCGCTCAATCCAACAACCAATCACTATAAAGCTAAAAATGCCAACCAAGAATGAGAAGGAACACCTTTATAAAGAGATTTATGAATTGTTTAAGAACTCAAAAAAAGGAATGATTTTTCTTTCCCTCTTGTTAACTCAAGTCTAGATATAGATGCTTTTCTGAAGGGTGATAGAACTGACTATGCCTTCTTAATTCTTTATTCAAATAAAGAAATCTGAAAAATGTGTTGTCTACTTATGGCTTTACTTCATCAAATCTACTAATAAATTATAATACATACATATATAAGTACAATGTTTGATGAGAGGCACTTCAAATTTGAAATGGGGTCCAATCAACATGCATCTCCTGAGCACCTTCTAAGTGTCAGAAACTGTGGGAGGGGGGAGGTATATAGGGATGGTGCATAGACAAGGTTCCCATCCTCAGGAAGATCACAGTCCCAGTGATACACAGTGTTCTCATTTCTATCTTGCTGAAAGGAACACTTGCAGCATGCCCACAGGAGGATATAGAACTTTGGGTCATTCTAATATCAGGTACTCTTCTCATTATCGCCTTAAACAGTAAACGCCTCCATTATTTCTTGGGTTCTTTCTCCCATCTCTTTTCTTGTCCCTTATTTCCTGACTTCACTGAATTCTTCTCACTTTATTTTGTAGAAAACTCAACTCTCCACAGATTTATACTCCAGCTTGGATACTCTGATCTTCCATATCACCTGAATACATAAGGAAGTACCTTCAATGGAATCCACCTTCTTAAAAAGATAGTTATTGTGAATATCATATATCATCTTGATGCATAACTACATTACTCTCATTTTTAAAAATTGTATGCCTTTTAGGATTCCAGAAGACTGAAGACCAGAAGAGTTGTAGCATGACATCAAGAACATCATACAGGAAGAAAGTAAAAAGTTATTAAGAAGACAAGAAAGAAAGAAAAGATCAAAATGGGTGTCAAAAGAGACATTGAAGCTTGCTCTCCAGTGTAGAGATGCTAAAGCAAATGGAAGAAATGAGGAGGCACAAGAGCTGAACAGAAAATTTCAAAGGTCACCTCGAGAAGACAAAGTCAAATATTACAACAAAATGTGCAAAGATCTGGAATCAGAAAACCAAAAAGGGAAGAACACACTCAGTACTTCTCAAGCTAAGGGAACAGAAGAAAAAATTCAGGCCCTGATTTTGGTTATTGAAAGATTCTCTGGGCAAATTATTGAATGATGCAGAGAGCATCAAAAGAAGATGGAAGGAATACACAGAGTCATTGTTCCAAAAGGAAACGGTTGATGTTCAACCGTTTCAAGAGGTAGCATATGATCAAGAGCCAATGATACTGAAGGAAGAAGTCCAGGGTGCATTGAAGGAACTGGCAAAGAACAAGGCACCAGGAATTGATGGAATAAAAATTGAAATCTTTCAAGAAAGTGAAGTGGCACTGGAGGCACTCACTCATCTCTGCCAAGAAATTTGGAAGACAACTATCTGGCTGGCTGATTGGAAAAGATCCATATTTGTGCCCATTCCAAAGAGAGGTGACCCAACAGAATGCAGAAATCATCGGACAATATCTTTGATATCTCATGAAAGTGAAGTTTTACTAAAGGTAATTTAGAAATGGCTGCAAGCATACATTGACAGAGAACTTCCAGAGGTTCAAGCCGGATTCAGAAGAGAAATTATTGCTGATGTCTGATGGATCTTGGCTGAAAGCAGAGAGTACCAGAAAGATGTTTACCTGTGCTTTATTGACTATGCAAAGGCTTTCAATTGTGTGGATCATGACAAACTATGGACAACAATGTGAAGTATGAGTATTCCTGGACACTTAATTGTGCTCATGAGGAATCTGTGTATGGACCAAGAGGCAGATGTTTGAACAGAACATGGGAACACTGAATGGTTTAAAATTA